ACACAGCAGCTACCAGATAAATGTTTAATGCATTTAACAGATATAACCATAGACACGAGATGTAGTGCTGTTATTGATTACTAACACTTAATTATTAAATAAAAAGAAAACTCTGACCTAAAAATGTTATCTGAATGTTACCTAAAATAAATGTATTAACATTAAATGAAATACTTACCAGTAAAATAATAGAATAATAGGAGGAAATATAGAGTAATAAAATAGAAATGTTGCTTTGGCAACCAAAATAAATGTACATAATAACAAAACAAAAACACTGCAATTATTTAGAAACTTTTAAAAACTCAAACATTTAAAAATGTATTTAAAAAACAAACAAAACCTAATGTAAAATATTAATAAATGAATTTTTTAAAAAATATGTAAACATTGTCAACTGAAAGAGCATATTAATATTAAATAAACAACATACAAGTAAAATATAAAATAATAATAATAAAATATTTATAAAACAGAAATGTTGATTTCGAAAACAATATCAATACAAATATTCAATAACAAGACAAACATTAAATAACAGAACAATTAATTAAAAACAGAAAAAGGTATAAAATACAAAAGGGAATCTGAAATACTATCAAATAAACAAAATAATAATAACTCTTGAAACCTAAACAATGCTCACTGAAATATCATGTTATATTAAATTAAAAACTTAAGTAAAATAATAAAATATTAGGAGGGAAAATTTTATAGCATAGAAATGTTGGTTTGACAACCAAAACTAATTTAAACTAAATATGAACATAATAACAAAAGTAAAACAATCATGTAGAAACCTAAACTTAAGCTTTTAAAAAATCAAAACACCTAATATTTATATTCGTAATTGTAATTAAATAGTGGCCAAATTATATATATATATATATATATATATATATATATATATATATATATATATATATATATATATATATATATATATATATATATATATATATATATATATATATATATATATATATATATATATATATATATATATATATATATATATATATATATATATATATACATATATATATACATATACATATATATATATATATATATATATATATATATGTGTGTGTGTGTGTGTGTGTGTGTGTGTGTGTGTGTGTGTGTTTGTGTGTGCGTGCGTACGTGCATGCGTGCTTGCGTGTGTGTGTGTGTATCATGGCAAAGATAAAATAAATCAGTTTTTAGTAATGAGTATTATGTCTAGAAATGTGTTTAAAAAGATCTTCTCTCTGTTAAACAGAAAATAGGGGAAAAAGTTAATTATTTAGGGGGGCTAAAAATTCTGACTTCAACTATTAATATATAACAATATACATATATAATTACCCTTTTTTAAATTGAAACCTTAAATTTTCATAAACTAATTTCTAAATCAATTAATTGTTTCCTTAAAATATTCAAACATAATGAGAAATGTGACTTCTTCAGAATAAAATAGAATTATTCTGCTAATTACATTTGAACAACAAAAACTATATTGATTCAGCTTCTCTGAACTGATTTATACTGTGCAGAACTGATGAATTTATTTACAGCATTTAAGGCAAATATATTATAAGAAACTGTATTTAAATTGCCTAGAAATAAAAAGTAATCTCTTACTTTTAAGTAATTAAATTACAGTAGCTAATTAATTTAACTCATTACAGCCAAGGTTTCAGCATGTATATTAGGCATGGGATGATAACTGTTTAAGGTATACTGCGGTTTGGAAAAGTAAGAGAAGGTTACAGTTCAAAAGCAAATGTCTAAATAAATTAATGCAGAGAAATCCCATAAAATACATATTGAACAAGAATATTGCCTTTCGTTCAGATGCTAAATGAATAATGAAATTTAAAAAAGAAATCAATAAAAAAACACTTTAGTTTGAGTAACAATCCCACGATTATACTAAAGTAATAATTCTGCATGACCTCATCCTACCCAATACCTAAACTCAACAACTACCTTAATAACTATTAAATAGAAGCAAATTAGTATTTACTGAGATAAAAGCATAGTTAATGATTTGTTAATAGTAAGAATCGTTCCTTAAAATAAAGTGTAAGCAAATAAATCACAAACATCTTTGTCTATCGACTCCCTTTAACAGTTCTTTGACAGCTTAAAGGTCAGGAAATATTTATATAGCTGGCTACATTTCAAATATATTCTGAAAGTGGCCCTAGAGCTCCCTTTTCTAAAGATCACTATACTATGAAGAGACTGCTCAGAAGTGACCCAACACTTTGTGAGATGTTCTCATTAACTAAAGTATGCAAAACAGGTAGTGCCATATTTCAGTATACACTTGAATAGCCTTAGTGACCTTGATGAAATCCTGAGAAATTGTTCATTAAGCCAGACTTACTGTATCTCTTGCAATCTGCTATACATAAAAACTCGTTATAAAGCATCATAGCTACAATTACAGTACATAAGCAAAATGTTACAGACGATCTACCCATTTAAAGGGACAGTTTACCCCATAATGAAAAATACCTTACCATTTACTCTCCCACATGTGGTTTTAAACCTTTATGAGTTTCTTTTTTTCTGTTGAACACAAAAGAAGACATTTTGAAGAACTCTAGTTGCTAGCATGCATTGACTCTTCACGATGGCTGCGTCCAAAACCGCCCACTACTCAGTAGGTACTGCATTTGAATTTAAACGTACTACTCGGCCGTTAGAAAAGTACGTTCTATACAGTATGAATGTAAAAAGTATGAATGGAATTCGGACGTACTACATTCGCCATTTTGTCATGGTCATGTGACCTACTTGCGTCAGTTGCGTCATGAATTCGCTAACTGGGCATCATGAGATTGCGCAGCATGCATGGGATGCGCACTCCTGAATCTCGCCGGAAGTAGTAAGTCATCCGGGTATTACTCATACTGATTTTTGAATTCTATGAATTCGGACATACTACTCGGCTCACATACTGATTTTAGCGTACTATATAGTATGGAAGTATGCAGTTTCGGACGCAGCCAATATCTTCTTTTGTGTTAAAACTCAAATAGGTTTTTTAACAAGTAAAGAGAGAGTAAATGAAGGCAGAATTAATATTTTTGGCTGAGATATCCCTTTGAGTGATTAAGCTTAATGCGATATTATGTACAATATCATTTTATGCAATCAATGATTTCTGATAGCTGAGAACTGTATCATAATACGCCTCCATATCATTTTCTTGCCCTCCATCCCTCGACCACACAAGATCTGCAAATCGATTTATCTCAAAAAAGAAAAACCTTGTATAGCAGCAGGAACTAAAGACAAATCTGACCCCAATAACAAAAACACAAAGCTGACACACTGCGCACACTTTCCCAGAAGCATTCATCAAGGCAAAGTTCCTACATCTTAACCTAGTTCAATGCTTTGCTTGATTAGCCATAGTAGGAGTATGCAGTAGTGGGCTTAAAGGGATAGTTCACACAAAAATTTAAATTCTGTCATCTTTTACTCATCCTTCATTTGCTTAAACCCCAATTGAGATTTTCTCTTCTGTTGAACACAAAAGGAGATATTTTGAAAAATGCTTAAAGCTGGCACCCATCAACTTCCATAGTAATTTTCCTATTGTGGAAGTTTCCTTTTCTGGAAGAGTGCCAGCAACCAGCATCTTCCTTTGTTTTCAAAATAAGAAAGAAACTCGCCGAGGTTTAAAACTTTTCATTTTGGGATGAACTATCCCTTTAATAATGGTAGTAATACCATCAGGCAGCCAATCACAGTTCTGGAAAACCTGTCCAAGTCAAAAATAAGACTGAGATTCTGCCACTCAAGCCTTGACAGCCACAGCCGACATACATCACAATCTTCACAAAGTAAAAAAAAGGCTTATCTTACCTCAGTCAGGTGAGGCGTGGGGTTAAAGCCGCACATATTGCAGACTTGAGTGTGGCACTGGGTGCAGAGGTTGTAGTTTGGTGTCTTGGCTGGATCCCCCACGTTTAGTTCAGCCTTACACAGTGGACAGCACACTTTGGGCTTTGCAGGAATGTCCTGTCGAGGTGGACCTGGTTGGGCTGTGGGTTTGGTACCCACTGCAGGACCTGGACCTGGACCAGGGGGTCCCGGCTGCTTCTGCGGGGGCTTCGGGGAGGTTG